GGTTTTGAACAGGCTGTAAGTCAGAGGATCTGGCTGGCCCTTCCTGCTTGTTGCTGACAAGAGCATGCTCTGGGTTTTGAACAGGCTGTAAGTCAGGATCTGGCTGGCCCTTCCTGCTTGTTGCTGACAAGAGCATGCTCTGGGTTTTGAACAGTATGTAAGTCAGGATCTGGCTGGCCCTTCCTGCTTGTTGCTGACAAGAGCATGCTCTGGGTTTTGAACAGGCTGTAAGTCAGGATCTGGCTGGCCCTTCCTGCTTGTTGCTGACAAGAGCATGCTCTGGGTTTTGAACAGGCTGTAAGTCAGAGGATCTGGCTGGCCCTTCCTGCTTGTTGCTGACAAGAGCATGCTCTGGGTTTTGAACAGTATGTAAGTCAGGATCTGGCTGGCCCTTCCTGCTTGTTGCTGACAAGAGCATGCTCTGGGATTTGAACAGTATGTAAGTCAGGATCTGGCTGGCCCTTCCTGCTTGTTGCTGACAAGAGCATGCTCTGGGTTTTGAACAGTATGTAAGTCAGGATCTGGCTGGCCCTTCCTGCTTGTTGCTGACAAGAGCATGCTCTGGGTTTTGAACAGGCTGTAAGTCAGGATCTGGCTGGCCCTTCCTGCTTGTTGCTGACAAGAGCATGCTCTGGGTTTTGAACAGGCTGTAAGTCAGAGATCTGGCTGGCCCTTCCTGCTTGTTGCTGACAAGAGCATGCTCTGGGTTTTGAACAGTATGTAAGTCAGGATCTGGCTGGCCCTTCCTGCTTGTTGCTGACAAGAGCATGCTCTGGGTTTTGAACAGTATGTAAGTCAGGATCTGGCTGGCCCTTCCTGCTTGTTGCTGACAAGAGCATGCTCTGGGTTTTGAACAGGCTGTAAGTCAGGATCTGGCTGGCCCTTCCTGCTTGTTGCTGACAAGAGCATGCTCTGGGTTTTGAACAGTATGTAAGTCAGGATCTGGCTGGCCCTTCCTGCTTGTTGCTGACAAGAGCATGCTCTGGGTTTTGAACAGAATGTAAGTCAGGATCTGGCTGGCCCTTCCTGCTTGTTGCTGACAAGAGCATGCTCTGGGTTTTGAACAGGCTGTAAGTCAGGATCTGGCTGGCCCTTCCTGCTTGTTGCTGACAAGAGCATGCTCTGGGTTTTGAACAGAATGTAAGTCAGGATCTGGCTGGCCCTTCCTGCTTGTTGCTGACAAGAGCATGCTCTGGGTTTTGAACAGGCTGTAAGTCAG